ACACACACGCACACACACACACACACACACACACACACACACGGACACCACAAAAAAAACGCAAAAATAAAAACGTAAAGTTCGCGCGTCCGGGCGACGCCTAGGTAACGAAAGGTCGAGCGTGTACTACACACAAGAGAGAGAGAGAGAGAAAAGAAGAGAGAAAGAGAGAGAGATTGAAAAAAATAATGTAAAAACAACAATCAATTTAAGACTCTTCGCTGTTACTGGCACGCGTGCCTTGCATTCCGTGTACCCCAACCCTCGATACCCGCCCACTTCACCTTCGATTACACCCCTTTCGGGGGGAATATCTTCCTTGTCGGCCACTGACTGAAGTGCAAAGAAGTCTCGAGCGAGAGCGCCGTTCCTGAGTTCGGGGGCCTCTCTGGCCAGAGGCTCTCGGAATACCTGTGGAGACATATCCAACGGGAGCCCTCGTCGCAGTGTCCGGGCCTCTACCAACTTGCCTGAATTACGGGAAAGTCTCGAGCGAGAGCGCCGTTCCTGTGTTCGGGGGCCTTCTTGGTCAGGGGCTTTCGGAGTAAATCGTGAGGAAGTATCGAGCAGGAGCCCTTGTCGTCGTGGCTGGGCCTCCGCCTTAATTGAATTGCGAGGAGGTCTTGAGCTGGGGTGGCACGTTCCCATTGCAAACGTGAAGCTTTTCGTCACGAGGGTGACGCCGCGCGCCCTCGTGACGAAGGCCCCTGTCACGAGGTCGGGCCCGCGGCCTCGTGACAGGGAGCCTCGCCAGGCGTAGCGCGCCAACCTTATTCATATTCCATGCGATCATTATTCATATAGCGACCACCATATAATCATATCGAAATAAATATAAACACGCGTGGTTGGATATGAATAATGCTGCCCCCACAAATACAAATATGCGCACTCTGATATGAATAATAATCCTCCCATGGATGCCACATATCGGATCGGTCGATATTCTGAGACGACCCCCGACATGCTGATTCATTGGAAGGTCCCCCATCGACCCCCCTGATCCTCCTCCTCCTCCTCCTCCTCCTCCTCCTCCTCCCTTCCTCCTCCGCCCGACGACGACAACGACGCGGGCCCGCCGCCGCCGGCCCGCCGCCGGCGCGCCGAGGGTGCTGCCAAGCGGCGGCAGCAGCGACGGCGGCGACGGCGCGGCGGCGGCGAAAGCTTGAGCATTCTCTTAAGGTGAAGGGCTCAGGGTGAAATCCATATGGGCTTAGCGGCTTCACCTCGACAATCAATCCGTCTTGTGGTTCACCTTTTGCAGATCCAAGCCTCAAAACCCGTCGAAACGGCATTTCAGATGTCAGCCTTTGCCCTCCACCCGAAGGAAACGCTCGGACCCTCGGAAAGCGGCGGTGACGCCGACAAGACGACGACGACGACGACGACGACGACGACGACGACGGCGACGACGACGACGACGACCGACGACGACGGCGGCGGCGACGGCGGCGGCGGCGGCGACCGACGACGACGACCGACGACGACGACGACGACCAGCGACGACGACCGCCGCCGACGACGATGACGAATCACGAACGAACGACGAAGACACGCCGAGAGTGCCGCCGACGAGAGGGATCGGCGGCAGCGGCGACGGGCGGCGACGACGGCAACTAGGGCAACCATATTCGCGCTCCGCGTTCCGCGAAGCGCGATCTTCGCGCTTTCGCGCTTTCGCGCCGCCCCCGTCGCACCCTCGCGGCTGCCCTAGGGCCGTGGGGAAGGACGACCGACGACGACGAGATGGATGACGGGAGGGAGGAGAGAGGATGGGGGATGATTTCAACGCGTTGTTTTCACTATTGTATACCAGACAAATATTTCGTATTGTGTCCTAGTCTATTTCATTATTTTATTGTAAACTAATGCATTTCTTTTACATTACTGTGGGCCGTATGTATAGTGCTCCGCGCAGATGTCGCGCTATGACGTCGGTTATGCTACGAGCTCCACGACATCGCCCCCCCCCCATGTCCCTCCACGGGGCTCTAAGGGGCGGGGGCTCCAGCATGCAGAGGCGCGTGGGGGGGGGGCATGCACTCTGCCAAAAGAGACCTTGCCCACATGGTCGCGAGGCAGAGATCAGCCAGCACTAGCACTAGCCGGCAGCACTAGCCCCAGCGCCTCGAAACTCGAAACTGAAACATCGGAAGGTTTGAATGCGCGCGAGGACCGCCCCCTCTACTCCCCCGTTGCTCTACGCACCTCTCCTCTCACCCCTCCCGCCCCTCGCCAGCAGAGCAGAGACCCACGCACCCATGCATGGCGACCTGCGGCGGGGAGGCGGGGCCGAGCCTGGCGAGCAAGCAAGCGCGCCTACTTGAGCAGGTGCGCGACTCTCGCACGGCCCTTCCCGCCGCCGCCCAGGCCACCTGAAGACGGACTCGCGCCGCTCAGTGCGAGCGCAGCGCATCCACCGAAAAACGTGCACGGGTCACTGGAGTCATCCGCGCGCTTGCGCTTCTTGCCCTTCCCGCTGCCCTTGCCGCCGTCGGCCTCCCCGCCGGCCTTCGCCACGTAGTATTTCAACTGCACGTCAGTCATGCCGACGAAGCCAGGCTTGGGGACCAGCACTGGCACTCGGATGCGAATCTTCGGTGGCTCAGCGCCGGCCGCCAGAGGCTGCTTCAGGAGCTTCGGCGGGCAGATGATATCGGCGTCCTCGTGCGCAAGCTGGAGCGCGGATCTTCTGGCTTGGCGCCTTGTTTCGCACGCTCCAGGCGGGGAAGAGCTAGTTTTCCGAGGGCCAAATGACAGTTGGAGATCCTCCAGTGAACTAGGTTCGGGATGCCGCGTATGTTTGCGCCGACGTGGTGGGCCCCAATACTGTTCGGTGAAGGTGATGGCGCCGCGAAGTAGCGCTGAGAATTGGTGAGCAGAGCGGCGGCCACACCGATTGAAACCGATTCCCTTTTGTGGCCGTCATCAGTCCTCTCACGAGGGCGATGCGATCTTTTTCGTTGCGTTTATGGACAGTCATTCTCAGACAGATACTCGTTCACGCCTCTAAGAGGGCCGCTGGGCCTTCAAGGCGGACACTTGAGCGACGTGTGAGGGATAGCTCGGGAGAATCAGCCACGAGCTGGCGGACATCCAGCTCTTCACCGCACTCGGACGTGACCTTCGCATCCTCGGGACGGGCGAGGGGGGAAGGAGGACGGAGGAGCCGAGGAGGAGGACGAGACATAGAGACATAGGGTTGCGAGAGGAGAGGAGAGGCCGAGGAGAAGCCAGGGGCCGAGGGGCCGCCGAGGGGGAGAGGAGGAGCCCAAGGAGGCGGACGGTAAGAGCGGTAGACTAAGGAGCAGGAGAGGGAGAGGGGGACGAGCAGGAGGAAAGGGGAGGGGGGGAGGCGGGCGCGGTCCGAAATGGACGCGGTGATCTGCGCCAGCTTCCACTGGACCTCGGCTCCGCACGCGAGCGGAGGGAGCGGAAGCGCGGCGGGGGCTTCGACGGCGACGAGCACGTCGCTGCCGCTCCCAGGCCCGCCGCTCGGCGCGCCTCCCGCCTGCGCCGCTGCCGGCGCCGCCCTGCGCCCGCCGCCCGCGTCTTTCATCCGAGCGGGGCCAACCCCGGCCTTTCCGCCGCTTGTCGCGCCTGCGCGCTCTCTCCCTCCCCCCCTTCCCACCCTCGGCACGGCCGCGGCCTCGGCATTTCGGGCGGCGCAGTCGGCGCTCGGGAGGAAGGGTAGCAGGGGAGGAGGAGGAGTGAAAGGAGGAAGGAGGAGGAGCGGGAGTATGATGAGGAGTAGGGAGAGGGGTGGAGGGAGGGAGGGGAAGGCGAGGCCGAGAAGAGGCAGGGAGATGTGATGGAAGGAGGAGGAGGAGGAGGAGGAGGAGGAAACAGGAGAGGGATCAGAAGGTGAGAGGGAGGAGAGGAGGGGAGGAGGGGAGGAGCGGGGAAGAGGGGGGGAGGGAGCAGGAGAACTCTGAAAAATTACCAGCGGGAGAAACTGCGTCCAGGTATTATATACCTGGCGTCGATATACATACCGATTGTGTCTGGCTCTTTCAGGCTCCAAAGCTGGGGGGGCCAGACGACCGCATGTCAGATACCCCCCACTCCCCGTAGGTGGCCCGCAAACGTAAAGACACGAGAAGGAGAAGGAGAGAAGGATAAGGCACCCGCTCAGCAGCGACGAGCGGGCTCGAGGCGGGGTCCAGGTTGCACTGCACCATGACATCCTCCATCACAGCATCGCTCCACGCCCCGTCGGAACAGACCTGCAGAGGAGAAGCGAAGGATGGGGGGGGTAGAGGAGGAGGATCGAGGAGGAGGATGAGGAGGAGAAGAGGAGAAGGAGGAGGCGGGGGGGAGAGGGGACAAGCTAGGTGCGCTCGCGTCATATCTGACGTCCTACCCCTCCCCCCCATCCCTCACCATGGCGCTGATTTTCTCTATCCGCGGACGCGTGTCGTAGCGGACATGTGGCTCCGCGCGCGCGTGCGTAGTGGGTGGTGGTGCGCGTGCGTGCGTGCGTGCGTGTGTGCGTGGTTGTGGTGGTGGTGGTGGTGGTGGATGTTGATGGTGGGTGGCTGGTGCTTGCTTTCTGGGGTTTGTGGGGGTGGTGGTGGTGGTGGTGGTGGTTGGCGGTGGTGCGGTCGCCGAGGGTGGTGGCGGGCGGATGGGCGCGCGAGAAGAGGCCAGTGCGTGGGCGAGAAGCCATCTGAACGACAACTTTGTGCTTTTATTCGTATCTGAACGACGGAATGGCCGTAACACCGATCGGAATGTTATGTCACCGCTTGCAGAGGGGAGCCAAATTCGGAAAGATGTTTCGGGAGGGGGGGGGAGCAGAAATGAGGCCGTCGCCTAAGCGAGACGCAGCCTTACTTGGACAGAGTGAGAACAGCAGGCGAAAGACACCAACTTCCCGGGAATTCACAGTGGTTGTAAAAACCCATTAAGCGGGGGGGTCGGTAATTTCGTTCAGGCCGCCATCGGGGGGAGAGGGAAAGTAGTATTCATATTGAATAATTGTGGAGGAGGATGACGACCTTCCTGATCGCGATGGCCCAAGCGCGCGCCCAAATGTGCGACTGGTCCAGCAGGGGGTCGACGGTCGCCATCTTGTCCGCATTGGCGACAATGGCCTCGACCGCCTCGCAGAACGCGGCGGACGGCATGCCCTCCACGTTGACCGCGTCGGGAACGAGATTCTCGAGGAGGTGGGCCGCGTAGTGGGTCCGGAGGCGCATCCACTTGCTCAAGTCGTCGAAGCAGCCGAAGGTGTGCTTGGCCTCGTCCGGCAGAGACTGCGTCTGCGTTGAAATCGTGCAGAGCTTGAGCACGTTCTTAGTCCACTCGGCTGGGAAATTGGCGTCCACTGCATCGTAGACACTTTTCAGGATGTCAGCCAAGTCAACGGAGTCCGAAGGTTTCGCGGCATTCATATCTACACCTTGGTCACGAAGGAGCTTCTTGCCGTACTCAATTTTCGCAGCCTCAATGTAGCCCCAAGCAGACTCCATCATGTCAGCAGTAATCCTGTGCATCTTCACTGGCCTCGAAGGCTTGTTGGCTGACAGGTAATCCCTCAATGCAATGCCCTCGTAGTCATTCAGGTACTTCGTCACATCGGCTGTCAAGGCGTCGATCGCAGCATCGCCTGGCACCGCCTGTTGAGGGAGGCTCTCAGCGATGCTTAGCAAGGCCGTGGCTGAGTCGTAGGCCCCCTGCACGCCCGCACCGCCCATCACAGCATCCGCCAGCGAATCTTCCTCCCGCTTCAGGGCCAGATACATGACCCGCTTGAGCTCCAAGCGAAGCTCGGACCACTTCGTGTGTTCCTTGCCATTGAGCGTAACTGATTCCATCCAGGCAAACTCCAGGGCGTGGGAGACGACAAACTCGGCGGTCTTGCGCTTGTTCGTCTTGGAGGCCCGTCTGAACTGGCTGAAGGAGTGCTCTATCGCCGCAACCAGGTCGTCGATCCAGAGTTTCTGGCGAGGCTCTGGAACCGCCTCATCGTCATCCAGGTCCTGGAAGTGAGCGTCGCGCACAAGCTGCAACTGCATGGCCTCCACCGCCATATCGCACTCCCTGCCGCGCTTGCCGCCTGCCGCTCTCTTCGGATTCGCCGCTGGCTTGGCCTGGGCGGCTTTCTTCGGTTTCTTCACAGGCTTGTAAACCGCGCTGCCCTCCATCGCTGTCTTGATGACCTCCATCCTGTCGTTGTCGACTCCCTTGGGGAACACGAAGGGCACGAACCTACAGCTGGGGTCCATTGGGCCTGACGACGTGGGCTTGTAAGGAGTGCAGAACTTGATCCCTTCTGTAATCAGCGCGGCCCTGATCTCAGGCTCGACTCCGATGCCAGCGCACGCCGACTCGACCGACGTCACGTAGGCATGCATGGCGGCGATCGCATTCCATTGGTTGAACCTGGCGTCGAGGAACTCGCAGTTCAGGTTGAGGTCCTTCTTCACCTGCTCGAAGACGTCGCACGGCTTCTTGCGCATCGAGTTGACGAGGGCCTTCAGATGCGCGAACGAGCTCCAGGAGCCCCCGTCCGGCCCGAGCAGCCTCGGGTAGTTCTCGGTGATCCAGTTCTTGTATTCCTTGTAATACTGGGCCGTGTTCGAAACTGGCTTCTCACCTGATTTCTGAATGGGCAGATCACGCTGACCGCACTCCTCCTCGCCCTTACCCTTCCCCTTCTTGGGCTGGCGGGCTTTGATCTTGCACTGCTTCCTGTGAGCCTCCCAGCCGTCCTCCGCGGCGGCGCACTTGTCCATCATCTGGACGCAGGTCATGCCAGAGCCTTGGTTGTGGAAATCGTTCGACAGATCGACGATCCACGTCGACACGTCGATCGGAGTCTTCTGTTTGAAGATGGTGAGGCCCGTTACCCCGCGCTTGATCGTGTGGTCCACAAATTTGTTGGTGCCTGGCTTGTTGCGCTTACTAGCGCGATACACTGCCGCTGTGAGGTGGCCCCAGCTCAGCATCTTGAATGGCGCCGATCCAGGAGCGGCATCGACCTTCACTGCCCACGGGTGGCCGCGAACACCACTCACGTAACCCCGCGTCTCGATGCTGACGGTGTTTTTTTTCCACGGTCTGCTCTTGGGTCTCCCGGTTGGCGGGGTGAGGCTCGATCATGGGGTTGCCATCCTTGTCGAAGTAGGGGGCGTGGCTATCAGCGCTCGGCATCGAGTACGCCTTCCACACAGCTTCCTGCGCGGGCGGAGGAGGAGGGAGGAGGAGGAGCGAGGAGGAAAAGGAGGAGGACAATGACTCTCCTGGAGCAGGCAGCCCGTGAGCCCAGGGAAGCGCACATGAATCGACTCGCGCGGCCCGTAGAGGGCCTCCTCGGCCTCTTCGATGCTGGCGAGCGCAGCCGCCGCCGACGCAGCGGGCTCAGCGCTGGCAGGCGCTGCCATTGACCAGTAGGAAGGGCCCCTCTGTTGCTGAAATACTCGCGCGAGCGGGGGCGGCTTGACGGCTTGACCCAATAGTGCTAGCAACTCCGGGAATGCGGGGCCCAGAAATCCAGCTCACGGCGGATCGATCCGGCTCGAGACATCACATCATCACAGATGGGGTCGAATCGAGTCTGTCACAGGCTCACAGGCCCAGACAACCAGCTCGCGCGGCGGATCGATCCGGCTCGAGACATCACATCATCACAGATGGGGTCGAGAGGCGAGTCGAGAGGCGTCGGATCGGTGGCGGCCGAGACTCTATGCCCCAGGGGGATGGGCAAGGCTAGCACAGTTCTACATCAACGCTCGGAGGAAATCGATGGCCTACAACCTACAACGTGGGTGCATGAGCGAGAGCCTCACGGTATAATCATAGAGTGGGCCGTGGTGGACTACGCGACTACGCTGGACCCTAGTGGGAACCGTTGGGTGCTTGAATTATCGGGGGGCCCGACATGCGGAAATCTAAAATACAATTGGCCCGACCGCAAACGAATCATAAAGCATCGCAAAGATGGTCGGGGTGTATAGGAAGGATGGGGAGGAGAGGTGAGGGAAGGAGGGGGGCTCGAGGATGGGAAGGACAGCGAATGCACGCCCATGCTCCTTCTCTCCAGCCCCCCCTCCTCGCCTGGTCGATTCCTTGGCTTTCCCGAAGATGGAGCAACGCAGCGACGCAGGAAGCAAGCGGGGGGGAAGGAGGAGAAGAGGCTGGAGAGGCTGGAGGATGATGACCTCGAGGAGGGGGGGCAGAGAGGAGCGGATCGGATCGGGCTCCACCCAAATCTGTGCACAGAGCGAGCTCAGCGAGATTCCACAAAAATCTGAACCTCACGTGGGCCCCACCTGACCTAGCTAGCCGGGGAGGGAGGAGGTGTGGGAGTGCTCTAGTGCTCTACTCCTCCTCCTCCGCCGCCTCCCTCCTCCTCTCCTCCTCCTCCTCCTCCTCCTCCGTCTCCTCCTCCTCCTCTCCTCGTCCTCCTCCTCCTCCGCCACCTTCCGTCGTCGCCGCCGTTGCCGTCGTCGCAGTCGCCGTCGTCGTCGACGGGGGGGGGTGCGAGCCCCCAGGGCCCGGGGGGGGAGGCAGAGACGGATGGGGGCCGCCCAAGGTCGAGGCGGGGGCCGCGCCTGGCGCTACTGGACGCTGGGCGGCGCAGAAGGCCCAGAAGGCCCGATGCCGCAATGCCGCCTGGGACGACGATGAGGCTGAGGGAGGGAGGGGGGGAGGGGCGGGCGAGAGGACGGGGGCGATCAGAGGAGTTATCGCAGCTCGCGCCGGCCACAGTGCCACAGTCTAGGGGCGCGACCTCGCCAGAGCTGCAGGGCACGCTCGGCGGTAAGTGCTGCCCAGTGCTGCGCGGCCGGGCGGGGCGACAACGCTCCCGCGGCGTCTCGATCACGCTGGCTCGGACCGAGCGCGCGTGACCTGGCCGACCGCCGCTGCGACCACGCGCGCGGCCAAACTCTCGCTCACTGTGTTCACGAAAGCCAGGCGCCAACATTCGATCGCGCCTACCACATTCACGTGCATAGCATTCCCCGCTTGGCAGAATGTCTGCGCGTAGCTCCTATCGGGGCAGCTGGCGTGGAAACTCGTCGACGGGCTCGCCCGGCCCGCGGCGATGTCATCGAAGCTAGCAGTAGTGACGGGGAAACCTACGGCGGCGAGCACCTCCTTTGCCGTCATGACTCTGTCCCTGAACCACATCATCCCACAGTGCTTGGTGACCGTGCACAAGTTACCCTCGCTGCTCATGGACGTGAAGTCGTCGCAGTCCTGGTTGAGCTGGAACACTGCGTTGGTGCCGTGATTGCGCTCGTAACGGCCGAGGTTCTCGCGCTCGAACGGCGACAGGAGGCCCCTCAGGTCCGAGACGGTAAGTTTCCCAGGAGGGACATCCCAATGGTTCTTCCTCGCCCTGTCAGCGGCGAACTCCACCAGGTCGGCGAGGTCCGCATCTGTAGCCCAAAACCAAATGGAGAACGTGCATTGGCGGTCTCTGTGGAACAGCCTGGTGATCGTAGACACCGGTAGCACAGTGAACACCGCGGCCTTTGTCAACGTCATGACTCGAAACATGCGAGTCCGCCTCGCGGGAACCCCGAACTGGATGGGGGACAGCTCTTGCTCGGAGATTGCGTAGTGCTCATTGAAGCAGGCTTGGAGGAGGTCAAGCATGCACTGCTTCACGTTCTCGTGAATGATAGTCGGTACGAGGAGAAGCAGGCAAAGTCCCACCCAAGCCATGAAGTGTTCTATGGAATCGTCCTCCTCGCCACGCCCGAGCCCGACAGGGGAGAAGCCGACGCATGGCGGGCCTGCCCACATGACGTCCACCCTTGTCACGGAGCACTCTTTATCATGAATACAGCAGTACGCCGAAGGTTTGACGGCCTTCCTAGTCTTGATCGCTGGGAGAAGCTTCCTGACGCCGATGATCTCACCAGAGTCCTTCATCCTGCCCAGCTCACGCCTGAACTCGGGAACGTAGAAGTCGCTCATGTCGGCGAACAGGCATCTTGGCCGACATGGATGGCAGAGAAGCTCTCGTTGCGCGTGAGCATCCCATTCGATTGCCCAGTGGTGGGCGGGCTTGCAGATCTTGGTGCCAAGGTGACGCTCAAGCTCCTGCCGCAACATCTCCCTGGCGACTCCAGGTGAGTCAATGCCCGAGAAGGCAGTGGCATGGCGCTCGGTCTCGAGGGCTGTTGCCATCTTCTGCACGCGAGCTCTGCCGTGGACCTCTTCGATCCTCAGGATGTTGTAGCGGGCCCAGTCGTACGCATCCTTCAGCTCCCTGACAGTGTAGAGGTCCGCCGCCGTCACTGCTGCCTGCTGCGGCTGAGGCGCTGACGCGGGCGGCACGCTGGCTGCGGCCCCAGCCGTCGCGGCCGCCGCGGCCGACGGCGAATCTCCGGGGGGGTGCTGCGGAAGAGGTGGCGGATCGGCCAGGCCAGTGACCAGGCCGTGCATGACTGCGGCCTCCGTGCTCGCCGCTCGGGAGAGGAGCTGTTCCATATCGGAGTCGCTGGGCGAGCTTGCAGACACCGCCTCCTCATCCACTGGCGCGCCACCATATCCATCTAGCACAGAAGGAGGGCTGACCTTCCCAGCCGCCGCATACAACGTCTCCAACTCTTCGTCTGCAACATCATCCTCAATGACGGGCTCCACCCGCGTGCGCTTCCGGAGGGGGGCGCCGGGGCGCCGACCAAGGCCGATATCGCCATCAGAATGCATGGCAGAACTCTCCCGCTTCATGGCCTCGATTCCCTCGCGTCGATCCCCCCTGCTATCCCGCAGGGCGGGAAGGGCCGCATCAGATGCCGCCGCCTCGCCTGATCCAGCGCGCTCCTCCCGCGGGGGCGGGGGCGCCTCATCCTCAGCAGCATCCGTCCGCAGTGCCAGCTGCGTTGGTGGTGGTGGCACCTGCGGCGCCTGCTCCAGCTCCGGCGTCGCGGCTGAGGCCGCCGACGCCGACGTCGACGCGGAGGCCGCCGCGTCGACCTGGCGAGGGGCGGGGAAGGAGGAGGAGGAGGAGGAGGAGGAGGAGGAGGAGGGGGCAGGTGGGCACAGGAGGAGGAGTCTGAGAGAGGATGGAGGAGGAGAAGGCGGGGTGGAGGGAAGGAGGAGGGGACGACGACGACGAGCGGAGAAACATACTTCTCGCATGATCCCCTCGTATGGCCCCCTCATCTGCCCCACCCGCATGGTCACATGGTCCCCTCGCATGCCCCCCCGCACGCTCCCCCCGCATGGCCCCCTCGCACGGTCTCGCGGAGACCGGCCCCCACAAGGCCAACGCGCACGCATGGGCGAAGTAGGACCGTTCGGCAACCCCTCATTCTGAAGATAGTAGGGGGGTATTAGGGTATTAGGAGGAGGGGGTGGAGAAAGCGTGAGGGTGAAAGCATGGGGCGTTGGCGTCCCGGAGACCGCGCCACTCGGCGGCCGAGGCGGGAATGCGATAACAGGCTGGCCGAATTTGAGCAGCGAGCGGTTGAAGGACGCGGCATGCATGCCGTACTTGGCCAGGTTCAACCCCCGGAACCCGCCCTGCTTTGCCATTGTGATCGGCGAGCTCGTGTTGGTCAAACGCACCTTCGAAAACCGCCGCAGGATAAGGGGATCAGGCCACGCGTCACCAGGCAACAGAGTCGGCAGCACAGTAGAGCTACCCGTATGCGCAGGAAGCGGACCATCGCCGTGCCACTCCGATATGGCGAAGATGTGGAAAACAGAGAAACTTGCTTTCGGGTCAGGGCGGGCCAATATAACTGGTTTACCGACTCGGTTGACGCCTTGCTTAGCCCACGGGACCAAAGAGGAAACGCTGATGTGCTCACTGCACGCGGTGTGAGCTAAAAGCAAGTCCACCACATCGGCTCGCATGAGTATGACGTGCACATCTTTCGGCATTGTCTCCAGCTCAGATTTCACCTCATCTTGGGAGAGGTGGATCTCTGGGTCAGAATGCGTCTTGCCTCGCAACCGGCGCGTCGGAGTACCCATCGTGCACGGATATCGGCTGACCAGAACGTAGAGGTAATGCGCGTGCCACAGCTAATCTTGATCCGAACACACGGTTACACAATGGGTAATGATTATAGCGTTGGGGGGTAGCTGCGATATACGGCGGGACCCGTACAGGCCATGTGGTACTAAATACACATGTATATCGAATGGCCCGCGATGATGATGCTGACGAATGTGTATGACGAAGACGGTGGTGATGGTGTGATGGTGATGATGATGATGGCGATGCTGGCGATGATGATGATGATGGTGATGATGATGATGACGATGATGATGATGATGGTGATGGTGACGATGATGATGATGACGATGATGGTCATTCTGAGTCTGAAGATTATGATGATGGCGCTGCTGCTGCTGATGATGGTGATGATGACGGGGGAGGGATCTGTCACGAGGGGGCTCGTGACGGGGTCGTGGACGGGGTGGGGGCGGTATGTCACGAGGGGGCTCGTGACGGAGGGCGCGGTCCGTCACGAGGGGGCTCGCGACGGGAGGGTGGGCCCGTCACGAGGGGGCCCGCGACGGGAGGGTGCCCGTCACGAGGGGGCTCGTGACGGGGGGGATCTGTCAAGAGGGGGCTCGCGACGGAGGGGACATCCCGTCACGAGGGGGCTCGTGGCGGGGGGAGGTCCGTCACGAGGGGGCCCGTGACGGGAGGGGGTCCGTCACGGGGGGGGCTCGTGACGGGAGGGGGTTCCCGTCACGAGGGGGCCCGTGACAGGGGGGGGAGGGGGGGGGGGCGTCACGAGGGGGCTCGTGACGGGGGGGGTCTGTCAAGAGGGGGCTCGTGACGGGCGGGGGGTCGTCACGAGGGGGCTCGTGACGGATGGGGGTCCGTCACGAGGGGGCTCGTGACTGGAGGGGGTCCGTCACGAGGGGGCCCGTGAAGGGGTGGGAGGGGGGGGGGGGGGGGCGTCACGAGGGGGCTCGTGACGGGGGGGGGGGTCTGTCGAGAGCGGGCTCGTGACGGAAGGGGCGTCCGCCACGGGGGGGCGTGTGTGACGGGGGGTGGGGGCGCGGGGTCCGTCACGAGGGGGCTCGTGACGGGAGTGGTCCGGTCACGAGGGGGCCCATGACGAGATGGGGCCCGTCACGGGGGGGCACGTGGCGGGGGAGGGGGGGGGGGGGGGGGGGGGGGGGGGCGGTGCCCGCACGAGGGGGGCGCGTGACGGGGGGGGAATGTCACGATGGGGGCTCGTGACGGGCGGGGGTCGTCACGAGGGAGCTCGTGGCGGATGGGGGTCCGACACGAGGGCCCTCGTGACTGTTTTTAACATCCACAAAGCAGCCACGATACAACTGAGGGCTGGCGAAACCCTCAGAGGACGCTCGTTGGCGTAAAACAGCGCCACCCTGAGCGGCGTTGCGCCCAAGGAGGCTGCCTCCTCCGCGTTGAGCGGAAGGGGGGGGGGGGGGGGGGGGGGGGGAGAGGAGGAGGAGTGGGAGGAGGAGGGGGAGTGGGAGGAGAGGAGAGGGAGGAAAAGGAGGAGGAGGAGGAGGAGGAGGAGGATGAGGAGTCGGAGTGGAGGAGGAGGAGGAGGAGGAGAGGAGGAGGAGGAGGAGGAACATGAGGAGGAAAAGGAGAGGAGGAGGAGGAGGAGAGGGAGGAGGAGGAGGAGGAGGAGGAGGAGGAGGAGGAGCAGCAGGATGATGATGATGCTGACGATGATGATGATGATGATGATGATGAGGAGGAGGAGGAGGAGGAGGAACAGGAGGAGGAAAAAGGAGGAGGAGGAGGAGGATGGGACGGAGGAGGATGAGGAGGAGGAGGAGGAGGCGGAGGAGGAGGAGGAGGAGGAGAGTGGGACATCTGCCACTGGCTTTGCCTGCGCAGCTGTCACCAGTGGCCCCCGAGGGCCACTGGCCGTGCCCCAGGTGAGCCCCCGCCCCAGAACGGGGAAACAGATGGGGAGGGGTCAGGGCGACAACCTCCTCCCTCAAGAAAACGCAGGGAGCCATCGCGCGTGCATCGCGCCTTCCCCCACAAAATGGGGTGCCTGACACACGTGCGCGCAGCCCACGCGCAGCGCGCACAAACGAGCAAGCCCTCGACCTGGCGAACGAACGCCAGGACTATGACAGACAAAGAGGCTGAGCAAGGCAACTGTCAGGGCGACGAGCCCCCGCGCCAGGCCCACGCGGCATGCTCGCGGTGACCTCCTTCCCAGGAGACCTAACATTGGCCAGGGGCAAAAGAAACGAAACTCGAGGACAGAACACAAACAAAAAACGACCACCCACACACGGCCGACGAGGACAGCCGCCCCAGGTGCAAATAGCGCCAGGACGGCGGCACGCCTCGCCCCAGATGCGGGGCATGCACACTGAAAACTGCCCTGGGGTCCGTCCCACCGGGCCTTAAAAGGGCGACGCCAGGACGACGGCCAGGACACCCCAGGTGTACCCAACCCTGAGGGCGGACGCCTGGACGGCCCCTGGACTGCCCCAGGTGTGGGCCCATCTCGCACCCTGAGCCAGTGCCCACATGGCGGGCCCTCCAGACGGCGACGAGATAAGAATGGGAGGCCGCGGTCGGGCCACCATGACCCCCGCCCTCGCCCAAGAAGTGGGGCATGGCACGTGACGGGGGGGGAGGGGCGTCCGTCGCGAGGGGGCGCGTGACGGGAGGGTTTCGTCACGATGGGGGGCTCGTGACGAAGGGGGAGGTCCGTCGCGAGGAGGCTCGTGGCGGGGGGGGGGTCTGCCACGAGGGAACTCGTGACGTGATGATATGTTGATGATGATGATGATGATGATGATGATGGTGATGGTGATGGTGATGATGATGTTGGTGTCGTGTTTGGCGTTGCTGTTGATGATGATGATGTGAGAATGTTTGCGAGGATGATGACGATGATGATGTATGTGGTGATGATGATCATGGTGATGATGGTGGTGGTGATGATGAGGGTGATGAGGATACCAGTGGGCGACGTTGATGATGAGGATCGTGAGGGTGGCAATGGTGGTGTTGATGACGATGATGTTGTTGGTAGTGACGCTGAAGCAGATGTTGACGCTGGTGCTGATGATGCTGCTGAATCACATGCCATGCCATCCCCCTGCAATGCGACGTCGCCGCACGAACCCCCTGGTCCGCCGGCGTGGCGGCAGCGAACAGCCTTGGGGGACGGGAGTGCCTTGGGCTGGGATGGGGCTTCGTCCTCCCCACTCGTCCACTCCCTCCTCCTCCTCCTCCTCCTCGCCCACCTCCTCCGCCTCCTCATCCTCCGAGTCCTCCTCTTCTCGCTAACGCGTTGGTGACAAGGATGCCAGGATGCCATGATGATGATATGATGATGATCATCGCTCAAGTTCCTCGCGCTGCGCCCAGCCGAGGCGACGTCGCGACGTCCAGGAGGAGGGGGGGAGGGGCTCTCAGGCTGTCAGGCCAACAAACAGACACCCCCCCGACGATAGGAGACTGCAAATTGTTAGAATGTTTGCCCGTCCCCTGGGCGCATGCGCTATCTGTATCTCTCGCCATCCCCGGGATCCCCCCGCCTGCATGCCGCGGCGGGAGGTGGCGCGTGCGGGCTGGACAACCGCGAGGCGACGCAGGCGGGCCGCTCAGCTGGAGGAGGGGCGGATGATGGGGGAGAGAGGAGAAGGAGGAGGATGAGTCCTGAGGAGGAGGAGGAGGAGGAGAAGGAGGCGGAGGAGTGAGGAGGAGGAGTGAGGGGGGGAGTAGGAGGAGTAGGAGGGGGAAGAGGAGGAGGAGGAGAAGGGAGTGGACAGGGCGGGGAGGGGGAGCAAGAGAAGGCGGCGTGGCAACGTGCTACCAGAACGCATCACCTTGGACCCCGTGGTCCGCGGCACCACTGCACGCAGAGTGCACAGGCCCCTGCGGCTGACACAAAGAACTCCATGGGAACAAATCCAACTGCCAAGTCAGCCACGGCCGCGCGCGCAGCCAATTTTGTGTCTGGCCCCCCCTGGCCGAGCGCACAGCCTGCTGCCGCGCGGGCGCAAGCACCGTGCCACGTGCACATGCATAGAGGGCATGCGACAATCTCATCGCCCTCGCCAGACTCACAAAGCACACAGGACTTATCAATCGAGACTGTCCGTGATATTGCGGCCGACCACATATCCTCCAGCTTCACAATATCAGGTGGGATCACCGGCCTGACCTTCACGTGGTTGATGCATTTGGGAACTTTGGCCATCGAGATCCCGATCGCTGGGTGAATGATTACGGCATTCGCGAATGAGCGAAGCTTCGTCAGAGTCACGGAGTACTTGATCCTCTTGACGTCCTCGTCGTCGTCGTCGACCACTGCCTCCCGCCCCCATCTGGCGCCAGCGTCCTGCCAGTGAACATGCATGAGGGTATCTGGGTTGTCCCGCGTCTGGACCAACGATAGGAAGCCATTGTTGCCAAGAGGGATGGACATCGCGTCCTCCCGGTCGTGCAGGATCGCAATGCAGTCCAGTAACCCAGTCGACCAAATGGCGTGCCACGCTGGGTTGGAATCATCACCATCAGCTGGATCAGGCTCTGGCGGATCCGACGGAGGCGGCGGGGGCCCTGGGGTCTCCGGCCCCAGCAGAGTATCCAGGGCGAGCTCGTCTCGCACTTCCTCGATGTTGACCGCGACGCCTGACATCTCCAGCGCCTTCTTGGCCAACGCGTCTGGATCGGCGTGGAAGTTCTTGAACTCCGCCCCCTTCTTCGCCTTTTGCATCTCATGATGTGCCCCAGCAGCGCCGAAGATGTCGTCCTCGCTATCGGAGCCATCAATCTCGGCATCGCGACGGCCAACAGCCTCTGCAAGTTTCCGCATGCCCTCCGAGTCAAGCATGGCCTCATCCAAACCGCCGCCGTCGCCATCCAAGGCGGCTACCGCTGCAGCCACGGCCGCTTCGGCCCCCCCCTCGTCGCCGCCGCCGATCGTGAGCGCCGCCGCAAGCGCGCCCAATACGTCCTGTTGGGCGAGCGAGAGGCCAGGGGGGGATCGCACCCCCTG